CTTCTTTATCTCTTCTCACGAATTTTAATTTGAAGTCTATTTTATCTGATATTAAGATTGCAACTCCCACCTGTTTATGGGGGCCGTTTGCTTGGTAGATTTTGTTCCAGCCTTTAACATTGAAAATGTGTTTGTTTTTACGGGCAAGATGTGACTCCTGAAGGCAGCAGATAGAAGGGTCTTGTTTTTTAATCCAACTAGACAGTCTATGTCGCTTAATTGGAGAGTTCAGTCCGTTAACGTTAAGAGATAGGACTGAGAGGTATTTGGGAGTTCCTGCCATGTTATCCACCTTCTTGGGGGCTGCGAAAACTGGGTTCTTCCTATGGTTCTTGGATTCTCAGTTTGGGTGCAGTTTCTTGGCCTTTGTTGCGGTCTTGTTGGTTTTCTATGTGTAGGACATCTTTAAGAATCTTTTGTAGGGCTGGTTTGGTGGAGATGTATTGTTTCAATTTTTCTTTGCTATGGAAGGTTTTTATTTGGCCTTCAGTTATGAAGGAGAGTTTAGCTGGGTACAGTATTCTTGGTTGATAGTTGTTTGTTTTTAGGGCATGGCATACATCATTCCAGGCTCTTCTTGCTTTGATTGTCTCTGCTGAGAAATCTGAGGTGATTCTAATTGGCTTCCCTTTATAGGTGATTACCCTTTTCTCCTTGACAGCTTTAAGGATCTTTTCCTTGGTCTGAGTTGATCCTGTATGGATTATAATGTGACGGTGGGATGTCCTATTCTGGTCTGGTCTATTTGGGGTTCTAAAAGCTTCTTGTATCTGAATAGGCCTATCTTTTTGTATGTTTGGGAAGTTCTCTGCTAGGATCCTGTTAAACAAATTTCCTAGACCATTAACTTCTGTTTCTAGGTGCTCCTCTACACCCATTATCCTTAGATTAGGCCTTCTGATGGTGTCTTCCAGGTGTTGGATAGATCTATCATACTTCTTGGACTTGTCTTGGATGGTTGTATGTTCTTTCTCTATAATATCTAGGCTGTCTTCAATCCCTGAGATTCGATCTTCTGCATGGTCTAACCTGCTGTCAAGACTCTCTACTTTGTTTTTTATCTCTTTTCCTTCTAATTGGTCAGCTTTGATGGCTTCAAGTTCTTTGTTGAAGCTCTGTTTTAGGTCTTGTATGAATTTCTTTACTTCCTTAATTTGGTGTTCAGTGTTTGTTCTCAAATCACTTAGTTGATTGGTTATGGTTTCTTTGGACTCCCTTTCCTTCTGTTGGGTTCCATTCAGCATTCCCTTTGTGGTCTCCCTGACTTCCTTCAGCTCAGGGTTACAGTTTTTTAACCTCAACTTTTTTGTTAAGAACTAGACAAAAGCACACGTCAGCTTAGTCTTATACAAGGTCAGGATTATCAGCATCACCATCTCCCACGTATATCTTGACCTACTAGAAGGTGCTTAGGAGCAGTAACAGAAGTAAAACTTCATCTCCTATGATAGCAAGGCCTTTTTTTTTTTTTTAAGGTACTTCCTAAAGGAGCTGCCTGAGTCTATTTTAGAGTTAGTTTTTGTATGTATGTGTATGCTGGTATCAGGGCTTGCACTGGCTTGTTCATGTGTATGCTGGTATGCAGGCTTGCACTGGCTTGGCTTTTTAGCTCATGGTTGGTATTCTACTACTTCAGCCACACCTGCCATCTGGCTTTTTGTTGGTTAACTGGAGAGAGTCCCGCAGACATTTTCTGCCCAGACTGGTTTTAAACTTCAATCTTCCAGGTTTCAGACTCCTGAACAGCTAGGACTGGTGCCCAGCAACAGCTAATTTTTTGTAAGTAGGAATATATTCTAAAATAATGATAAAATGTATAGTAAAGTCACATTACCCTATGACACCGAAACCATCTAACTACTCTATGATGCTTTTATAACAATGAAATTGCTTAATAATTCATTTCTCAGAAAGATCCTTGATGTGAAGAGAGAATTCTGGCAATGCAGTAGGTTTGTTTACATCAGCATCACAAGTATGCAAGTAATGCCTTGTATTAGACAATATAATATGTACTGTATTACCAGGTAATAGGAATTATCCATCCCCATTATAAAGTTATAGAACATTGTACTTGTGGTCCATTGTGAACCAAAACATTGTTACCTAGTGAAAAACCATATTCTCTTTCTTCTATTAACTCTTTTTTTTGGTCGTGGGTCTTGAACTCTGGGCCTGGGCGCTGTCCCTCAGCTCTTCAGCTCAAGAGCCACTTGAGCCACAGTACCACTTCCAGTTTTCTGATATTTAATTGGAGATAAGAGTTTTACGGACTTTTTTCCCAGGCTGGCTTTGAACCATGATCCTCAGATCTCAGCCTCCTGAGTAGCTAGGATTATAGGGTGAGCCACCAGCACCCGGCTTCTATTAACTCTCAAAGTATGGGTTATATATGGTTTTATTTTATTTACTTCTTGATCTATATTTCTGGGTGGGTAAGTAAATAAATTTTAACTTAGAATTTATTGGATAACTTGGATAATACTGTTATCCAAAGGTCTATCAAGTCTTTTTTGAAGTAATATTGGGGCTTGAACTCAGGACCTCTCTACCACTTGAGCCTTAATCACAGTTCTTTTACCTTCAGTTATCCTTTGAATAGGCTCTTGCATTTTTACCCAAGGCTGGCCTGGAGTGTAAAATTCCTAGTTACTTACTTAATGACTGATTGATTTGAAAATGTGTGTGTGTGTGTGTGTGTGTGTGTGTGTGTGTGTGTGTGTGTGTGTGTGTGCGCGCGCTGGTACTAAGGCTTGAACTCAGAGCCTTGTGATCTTACTCTGCTTTTCCAACCATGGCTGGCGCTCTACCAGTTAGGCCTCACCTCACCTCCACATCTGGCTTTTAACTGAAGAGTCTTGAAGATTTGTCTGCCTAGGCTTGTTCCAAGACTTGATCCTCAGATCTCAGCCTCCTGGGTATTGAGGATTATAAGCATGAGCCACTAGCCCCCAGCCAGTCCTATTTATGCCACCTGCATGAATGGGAGGACAGACATATGCCACCATGCACAGATTTACTTACTTTTTCCTGGGTTGGCCTTGGACAATGATCCTCCTTATTTCTGTGTCCCAAAGTAGCTAGAGTAATTAGTTGTGAGCCACTGTGCTCAGCCTCAAATCTTTTTATTCTTGTTATTACTGCTAGTGATTTGTCCATATTTTATAAAAATATACTCAAAACACCACAAGATATAAAGAAAAGGGCTAAGTTTATGGATATCTCTGAGAGATCAAGTAACTTTCTTAAACTCCATATTATGAGTAACAAATTCAGAAGTCTCTCATATGCAATGATTAATTATGGTACAATCTGATATGATACACTTCAGCTTGTGATTTTATACCAAACATAAGTCTTCTTGGCCCATATGTAAAGAATATTCAATATAATAAATAGCTGGGTGTTGGTAGCTCACACCTGTAATCCTAGATACTCACAAAGATGAGATCTGAGGACCATGGTTCAAAGCCAGCCAGTCAGGAAAGGCAGTAAGACTCTTATCTCCAATTAGCCACCAAAAAGTGGGAAGTGGAGGTATGGCTCAAGAGCATAAGCCTTGAGCAAAAGAGCTCAAGGACAATGCCCAGGTACTAAGTTCAAGCCCTAGACCAGCACACAGACACACATACAAAATCTAACATGAGCAAATGAGCAAACAACAAAACAAAAATAACAACAAAAAAAACAACAACAACAAAAATAAACTGTACTTACAGAACTGTATTAAAGAAACAACAATCTACTTTTCTTTGGTATTTTTTTCTTTTTCATAATAATTAAAGACACAAATGATAATAATTAAATGACACAAATGATTTTCCTACCTTAGGCTTTGGTAAAGTTGATTAATCCACCTATCCACTATTCACTGAAGACCATTAACTTGCCTAACCATAGGGATACAAAACTGACTACGACATAGTTTGTACCTGACAGACAAGTAAAGAATGTGAGTTAAAATACAGAGGATTAAAACCAGACTAATATTCTTTCCAAAAAGTTTGAAACCAAGCAAAATTGTATGTATTCTTTTTCCTATATGATATATACTATTTTTGAGACAAGGTCTTACTGTGCAGTTCTATCGAGCCTTGAACTTGTGATCCTTCTGCTCCAGCTCCTTTAAATGTTGGGACTGCAACCATTGCCAACATACCCATATCTATACCACATTCATTTTTAAGGGAACATATATATGGAGGTTAAACAAAAAGCATGTGAGAAAATTATAAGATCAGATTTAAGACAGGTTAGCTCTTTACAGGGTTGAGTGGGGAGGCTAAAGGGGATAAAATGAGGAAGGAATACAAAGGAAATTTGAATTTTATCTACAGTAGATTTCCTTAGGATAAGTTAAAATCTAAAAAAAATACTACAAACTATTCAGAACTGACAAAGCAGGGCTGGGGACGCAGCTTAGTGAAAGAGTACTTGCTTTGAGGTCTTGGGACCAATCCCCAAAACCACTAACAAAACAAAGCAAAATAAAAGAGAACAAAACAAATAATCTGACAAAACTATGTGATAAGATATGTATATTTGTTATATAACCTCTATTCCATATGCTTAAAGTATTCTGCAATTTTTAAAATATTTTATTTGAAGCCTAATTCAATTAATTGGTGATATTTTTAGAATTAGTTGTGGACTTTCAGAACATATTCATATTGTATAACAAACAGAATACTAAGAACTGCTTTTAGAAAGAAGAAAAAATATAGGCTGTTAAATTGGCTCAGTGGTAGAGCGCTTGCCTTGCATGCACAAGGCCCTGGGTTTGATTCCTCAGCACCACATAAGCAGAAAAAAAAAGCCAGAAGTGGCACTGTGGCTCAAGTGGTAGCATGCTAATCTTGAGCTGAAGAGCAGAGGGACAGCACGCAGGCCCTGAGTTCAGGCCCGAAGACTGACAAAGAAAAAAAGAAAAGAAAAAAAGAAAAAAGAAAAAATAGCCCATATAATATGGCACATAATTTTAGATGAAGGGTTATACATACCTGTAAGTGTTAAATAAGCAGCAATGTACCGCTTTTCCAATCCATCTCTAATAGTCTGAACTGCACCAAAAAGTGGAGGTATGATCATAATCAGGTTACTCACTGTATTCCCTACAGAAGAAAAGATGAGAAGATATTTAGATTTATCAATAACACTTAAAAATAAAGATACATTAATTTGGCCTTTAACAATAAAATGTGGCTTTTCAGAAATATGGTAGAATGATATCTTCAAAGTGCACAAGAAAAAATTTCTATACTTAGCAAAAAATTCTTACAAAAAAATCCAAGTAAATCAAAATAAAATCTGCCAAATAAATTCACTTATTAAATTTGTTTATTTTGCTAGAAATGTTACTTATGTAAATAAATGTCAATATGGGAGATAAACAATACAAGTAAAATAAATGATAAATCTTAGAATTTTAAATTCTAAGATCATTTCAGAAAAAGTACTCAAAAATCCCTTCATGATAAAAGCCCTGCAGGAATAGAAGAAACATATTGCAACATAATAAAGGTTATCTATGATAAATATACTTTATAATAACAGCTATCTACAACATACTTATATTAAACACATACTACATGGGGCAAGACTGAAACTATTGCCTCTGAAGTCAGACAAGACAAGAATCATTTTTCTCCCATTCTTTAGGCTGTCTTTTTTTTTTTTTTTAGCTTGTTAACAGCATCCTTGGCTATACAGAAACTTTTTAGTTTACTGTGGTCCCATTTATCAATTCTTTCTTTGATTTGCTGTGCTTCTAAATCTCTGCACAGAAACTTCCTGCCTGTGGGCTGGGAAGGTGGCTCAGTGGTAGAGCGCTTGCCTTGCATGCATGAGGCCCTGGGTTCGATTCCTCAGCACCACATAAGCAAAAAGAAAAAAACCAGAAGTGGCACTGTGGCTCAAGTGGTAGAGCACTAGCCTTGAGCTGAAGAGCTGAGGGACAGCGCTCAGGCCCAGAATTCAGGCCCATGAGGCCCTGGGTTTGATTCCTCAGCACCACATAAGCCAAAAGAAAAAAGCCAGAAGTGGCGCTGTGGCTCAAGTGTTAGCACTAGCCTTGAGCTGAAGAGCTAAGGGACAGTGCTCAGGCCCAGAATTCAGGCCCCTCAACCTGACTCCCCCCCCAAAAAAAAGACAGAAATGAACTTCCTGCCTGTGCAGAGCAGTCCTAATTTCTCCTCCTCCCTGTAATAATTTAATGGTTTCAGGTCTTATATTGAAGGGAGTCATTTTGAATTGATGATACTGGTGCAAGATGATAGATAGGAATCCAGGTTCCATTTTCTGTATGTAAATATCCAAATTTTTCAACATCATCTGTTGAAGAAGTCTTTCTTCCAGACTATGTTTTTGGCTCCCTTATGGAATATTAAATGGTTTTAGGTCTGTGGGTTTATTTCTGTGACTTCTATTCTGTTCCACTGGTCCTCAGGCCTGTTTTTGTTCCAGTACCAAGCTGTTCTCATTACTATAGTTCTGTAATATAGTCTAATGTTTGGAACTATTCTACCTCTAGCACTACTTTTCATGCCCAGGATTGTTTTTATGATTTGAGGCCTTCTGTGGTTCCATATGAATTTTTGTATTGTTTTCCTTATCTCAGTAAAGAATGGAGATAGGGTTCTGATGGGCACTGCATTGAATTTGTTGACTACTTTGGGCAAAACTGCCATTTTCCCAATGTTAATATTCTGCCAATCAAGGAACACAAAAGGTCTTTCTACTTCTTTATATCTTTTCCAATTTCCTTCAAAATCTTACAGTTTTTTTGTACAGGTCCTTCCTTTTTTTGTACATGTCCTTGGTTTGGCTGATCTCTAGATTTTATTTTAGGGAAGAATATTACAATTACAGTTGCTTTCCTGACTTCAGTCTTCATCTTCTCATTATTGGCCTAAAGGAAAGTTACTGTTTTTTGTGGTTTGATCTTATACCCCGCTAACCTTGCATACATCCGACAAAAGCACTATCTAGAATATACAGAGAGCTTAAGAAACTAAACCCTCAAAGAATCAATAAGTTATCATTAATAATTAATAATTTACCTGATTAATGAGCAAATAAGCTAAATAGAGAATTACCAGAAGTAAAAATGACCAACAGACATATGAAGAAATGCTCACTAAGAATACAAACAATTCCAGGTGCCAGTGGCTCACACTTGCAATCCTAGCTCCTCAAGAGGTTTGAGATCTGAGGATCATGGTTCCAAGCCAGCCTGGGCAGTAAAGTCCTATGAGACTCTTATCTCTAATTAATCATCAGAAAACCAGAAGTGGTACAGTGGCTCAAGGGGTAGAGTGCTTGCCTTGAGCTGAAGAGCTGATGGTCAGCACCCAGGCCCAGAGTTCAAGCCCCACAACCGATCAAAAAAAAAAAAAAAAAACAACAACACAGTAATAGATTCTGGCAAGGATGTTGGTGAAAAGGACTTTAGTATATTGCTGGTAGGAATGCAAACTTGTTCAACCACTCTGAAAAGCAGTATGGGAGCTCCTCAAAAAATTAAACACAGAACCACCCTATGAACCAGTTAACACCACTACCGAACATGGCTTATACTTGCAATCCAAGCCAAAAATAGAGAGGATCAGGTAGGAGGACTGTGATTCAAGCAAAAAACTAAGCAAAACCCTATTTCAACAAATAAGTCAGGCTGATTGCTTCACACTGTAACTTTAGTAATCTTGAAATATAATTTCTTAAGAGGTGAAAATAACATTTCTTCTATCTCTTCCTTCTCTCGTATTTATCTTACCTCCCCCTCCCCCCATCCTTACTTTTTCTTTCTGACAGAACCTTATTCTCTTATAAGAAAATAAGCTGTATTCCAGACTGGCATATAACTTGCAATACAGCCCAGACTGGCCTCAAACTCATTACTATCCTGTCATAGCCTTCTAACCGCTGGGATTACAGGTGTGTATCATCTTACCCATCTTTATTATTGCTATATTTTCTTTTGTGACATATTCATTCAGGTTACTTAATGGTTCTAAACACTTATGTTTTTTCATGTGAAGATCAGACATACTACCTATTGTGGTGACAAAATACTGTGTAAGTTGAAAGAGATACTAAGCTATCACTGGAGACCAAGGTTCAAGGGATAAGAGAGAAAAGTGCTCACTGTAGTCATGTCCCTTACATTCTTCCCCATCATCACAGCCATATTTCAGGCCCCCATCCTTGACTTCCATTATAAAAAGTAAATCAAGTAAAAAGCAGAAGCATAATACATGTAAATGTAGCATTATATATGAGAAAAACTGATAAGAAAGTTTCACTTTTGATGTAAATTATATATATTTATTTAATTTTAAAGGTACGCTCATATACAATAAAAAGTTTACCTTCTAAAATCTGGAGTTTTGTTTTGTTTTTTGTCAGTTGTACACTGTAAGTCACAGCACCACTTCTGGTTTTCTGGTTAGCTGGAGATAAGTGTCTCATGGACTTTCCTGCCTGGGCTGGCTATGAATTACAATCCTCAGACCTCAGCCTCCTGATTAGCTAGGATTACAGGCATGAGCCACTGGTGCCCAGCCTTGTTTCGTTTTTGGTGCCTGTACTGGAGCTTGAACTCAGGGTCTCAAGCACTCACTTGGGGTTTTTTGTTTTGTTTTTATTCTTGCTCAAGGTTAGTGCTCTACCACTTGAGCAATAGCCTCTACTGTGGCTTTTTGCTGGTTAACTGGAGATAAGAGTCTCAGAGACTTATTCTGTCTGGTCTGGCTTTGAACTGAGATCCTCAAATATCAGTCTCCTGAGAATCTAAGATTAGGATTACAAATGTGTGCCACCAGCACCTGGTCTGCTTAAAAAAAAAAGAAAGAAAGAAAAGAAAAACACAGAATATGCAAGGCTGTAGGTTAGATCTCCAAAATAAAATAAAACAAAACAGAAAGAACAAAAGAATGAAGGGGAGGAGAGGAGGAAAGAAAGAGTAAAACAATAAAAGTATATTATAAATGAATATAACACAAAAATTACAGCATAAAATAAAACTACCATAATTAAAGTTGATACAAAACGATATCATAATTAACTCTTACTTTGGTACAGCTAGTGAAATTTTCACAGAAGAGATAGCAGATGAGTGTGCCTTAAAAGATGACTAGGACTTAGGAATGTACAAAGAACAAACAGTACTCAGGGCAGAGATAACATAAATGTGTGCAAAATCAAGAAGGAACATGATGTAACTAGGAAACCATGAGAAGTAACTTACATTATGTCTAGGGACAAACTGTATCAGGAGGTAAAGCTACTAAAATGGAAGGAAGATGAACATGGAAGGCATATCTGTGATCTCCCAAACAAACTGAAGGAAGTTTGTACTTTATAACAGAGGATGAAATTGCCAAAAAAATAATGCAGTGTAAAGATGCAATGATAATTCACTTTAAGATAAGCTTGAATAACTGGAGATTGCCAGCGGACAAACAAGGACACTTCTGCAAAAACTCTAAGTATAATGTAGTGATAAGGTCTCAACCAAAGTGGCTGTGAGATGGAAAGGAGAAAAGAGAAGGCATAAATTTGACTAAGATTTTTATGGCAGAATACAATCCCACCTCGCATTTCAATTGGTTATGCAAAAATATAACCAAAAGTATGTCATTATACTTTTAAGTAATTCTGCTACTAAATTTACCTACTTTCTTTCCATAGAAAAAAGTAACTTTAAACATGCAAGACCATCTCACCCACACAAATTCTGTATAATTAAATTGCTTGCATGGTGGCTGGTACATAAAAAGTACTAATAAATTTGAGAAGTTATACTGATACCATTATTTTGGCAACATTGAAGCATGAACTCAGAATATCTCATGTTTTTTAACCTGCTTGATCAGCTGGGTAGCTTATAGATATGAGCCACTGACACTGAGCCACTAATATTTTTTATGTTACCAAAAAGTCACAAAAAACTCATTTTCCCTAGAAATACGTATATCCCTTAATTAATAAAAGTCAGCATTTCTTCCTTGAAATCTTGGCATGAATTCTCAGAATCCCTGAGGCCAAGCTTATAAGGGCTTTTATCAAATTTAGTTGTTGAAAGCATTTTTAAATAGAAAAGAAAGAACATAAA